CTACCTACCTACCTACCTACCTACCTACCTACCTACCTACCTACCTACCTACCTACCTACCAACCAACCATTGGGACCTTTGCAGCATCCCCATGATCATGTGATCAAAATTCAGATGCTTGGCAAATGGTTCCTATTTATGACAGTTGCTGTGTCCCGGGGTCATATGATTCCCCTTTTCTGACTTTCTGAGAAGCCAAGGCAATGGGGAAGCCAAATTCACTTAACAACCAGGTTACTAACTTATGAACTGCAATGATTCGCTTAACAACTGAGGCAAGAAAGATTGTAAAATGTCTCCCTTAACCACATAAATTTTGGGCTCAGTTGTGGTCATAAGTCAAGGATTAGCTGAATATTCTCAGAGGCAATTATTCCACTGCATGACTTAAACGGAGCCAGGGTAGATATATTTTTCTTTTCCAAGAGGGGAAAGAAACGAAGCCTTCTCAAAGTTAACTTAAGTTCAGGCATGAAAGTACAAATACAAAATGTGCTACTGCCATTCCATTATGATTTCACGTATATATTTGAATTCTGGAAGCTGATTAATTTTTATCACCGTGATAAATATTGATTCGGAAGAGTTCCTGCTTGGTTTGTTCTGTTCTTTTTCTCAAAAGGAGACAACTGAACCTACATTAATTTAAGAAGCATTAAGAATTCACTTTGGATCCTTCATTTTAATTACTTAAACCAACAGAGTTCTCTAAGGTATTTCTCCCCTTAATAACTTCTGACTTGTGCGATGTAGGAAAAGTAAAATTAATGCTAAATATTTTATAATCCATACATAAGGAGCTCTCTTTCTCTCTCTACCAAAACATTTGCTAGAATATATTTTTATATAAATTGAATTCCTAACACTAGTCATTGCTGGTTAATTTATGCATTATTGTTGTGAGATAGAAAACGGCGTCCTCCAACAATTCCCTTTTAGGCTGCCATGCTATCTGCATTCTTGTTATCTACAATGTCATTAATTGCAGTAGATATAGAACGTGAGGTTGTGCTTATGTGCTTCTATATCAATATGTTTTGGAGAACAGTACCTGTTATCCATCTTGCATGGGTGCTTAACTGCCCAGGGAAATGAAAGATTCTGACTTGATATTTAATTGCTAAAAAGGCATTAAGAGTTGTTAACCTAATTTTGCCAAGCTTCTTCTCCAGTAACATTGTACTGCTAACTAGGGCACACACAACCTTTGCCAGACCAATTCTCAAATACAGCTCGTCTGTCTGGAATCTGCACTGTATATCGGACATTAATACAATTGGACGAGTCCAGAGACATTTCACGAGAAGAGTCCTCCACTCCTCTGCTCACAACAGAATCCCTTATGCCACCAGGCTTGAAATGTTGGCCTTGGACATCCTAGAATTATGCCGCCTACGGTCTGACCTAAGCTTGTCTGCAACAATGTCCTATCTGTCAATGACTGCTTCAGCTTCAACCACAATAATACACGGGCAAACAATAGATACAAACTCAAGGTAAACCTCTCCAAACTCGATTGCAGAAAATATGCCTTCAGCAACAGAGTGGTCAATGCCTGGAATGTGTTTACTTGACTCTGTTGTTACATCCTCAAACCCCCAACACTTTAACCTTAAACTGTCTACTGTTGACCTCACCCCATTCCTAAGAGGTCTTGAAGGGTCATGCATAAGCGTACCAGTGTGCCTACCATCCCTATCCTACTGTTCCCATTTATTTGTGCTCATTTCTTATGTATATACTTATACCTGCTTATACCTAGATGTTTATGTGTTATATTCATACTTACACTTGTTTTCTCATACATGCCTGACAAACCAAATAATTTTTTTTTAAATTGTCTTCTTACTTCTTTTATTTCCTGCCTCAGTGAAAGGGAGCCAATACTGAAGCTGAATTTACACCCAAAGACAACATTTTATATTTTAACACCCATTCATTCAGAGTAGATGCTACCCAATTCCTGAATCAAGC